TATCATAATACAAAATGTATTAACATATCGGATTTGGCACATCTATACGGCGGTGACATCAACATTTTTTGTGTTTTTTAGTATGCAGTATTTGATCGTATACATCAGTCGATTGAGAATTATCGAGTGCTAATATTCAAGCATTTATGAAATATTCGAACTTAAAAATCGATCTTATTATCAATGAGAAGTTTTTATTTACATTGTTTATTAACATTGTTGTTTAGTTTCTTGATGTTAGCATACAAATTTAATGATCTGATCAATCAGTACATAAATATCTAAATATCTATTTGGACGAAGCAAATGATGCAGCGCGATTTTTTTCAACTTGAAAACATATGTTAAGTGTTCCCAAATGCCCAAAGAACAATTGGATACACTTTTGAGTAGGTAAACTTTCAACGCCAGCGAATGAATTCGAGTCATTTAATTTCTCTGTTATATTTTTAAACTTAGATTGAAGCAGATTAAACAATGAGTGAAATTTAAAAACGAATCGCTGCTCGATCTATCATCAAATTAGTTTTTGTTTAGTTTGCACAGTTATTATTCGAAAGTGGCTCCTAAATTCGACCATCTCCACTGTGTGTAACTTCTTTTTAGTACTGATTGATGTGTCATTGTAAGTGTCACACATCCAAAAGAAAAGTGAATCTGACAGAATGACAGTTCAAATGATTTACTATTTTTAAAAGACGTAATCAAACGGGTTGTTTTCATTATTTTGTTCAAGCTCAGGAATCGTAGAGTTTTTTATATATAAAAAGATAATTTCAAAATACTATGAATATTTAAGCAACGTCCTAAAGAATATTGTTGTTTTTACATTAGAATGATATAATGGAAGTGCCAAACAAAGTTATTAAAACTGAATTTGAGCAATTTGCCATTGCAAACATAAAAAAAGAGCCTGATATAATTGAAATAGACGAAGAGATATTTTTGAATGAGATTTCTACGCCATCGAAAGAGCTCATCGGTCCTAATATCGACGAATCATTTGTAGATGCCATCGTTCACGATGAACTTGTTAAAGAAGAATATGTGTTTTACGATGCAAATGAATTGCAATTTTTGCCTATACAAGAGGTTGAAGAAGCATCCAAAACAAGCAAAAATATTGGTCATACTACAAATCCTCCTGGATCTGGTTTGAGTAAACAATCAGAACAAAAGAAATGTTTTGAATGTTACATATGCAGAACCCAGACAGAAAATATTGTTTTCTTGAAGTGGCACTTACAAGAACGGCATCATTCATTGCAAAGTCAACGATTACAAAAGCAGAACATGAAAAAGGAAAACATGGAAAAACAAACGTCGAAAAAAAGAAAATTGATGGAGAATTCGAAAGAGAACGAACTGAAAAAATGGAAATTGAAAAAACAAATATCAAAACAACAGTATCTGCAAGAGAGTCATCAACAAGGTAGTAAAAATTACTATTTCATTCTTCAAGAAATACTATCCATTCTTTCAATAATTTTTCCATTACTGATTGATGCATTTGAAATAATCAAAATTTATTTAGAATATAAGAAAGTTGGTTGGATGAAAATAAATCTTAAATTAAGAACAATTTGCAAATGAGCTGAAATCGCGACAGCAAACAGTTTGCAATACATATATTCATGTTTCCATTATTTCTTTTCTGTGTGATTAACCCTAGGTAATCAACATGAACGAGGACACAGTTTACTAATTGCAACTACTGAAAATATATTTGAATGTTCATATTGCCGAAGAAAATTTAATACCATGCAACGTTGTCAAAATCATGAGAGAATCCATACGAACAAAAAACCATTTAAATGCCCTGTTTGCCTTAAGTACTACAACACCAAAGATTCAATGGCATTACATTTGAGAATACACAGCGGAGAAAAGCCATATTCATGTGAAAAATGTAATATGAAATTTAGATTAAAATGTCAACGTGATCGTCATCACATTAAGGCCCACATCAAAGGATTTGCTTTAAAGGAACCAAAAAAAGTACAATTAATTTTTCTTATTTGTCATATATTTAAGACTATATCTAACACAAGAAAACTCATTTTGAATGCAATCATTTTTCATTCTGTTCAATTACTTATTGATTAATTTCTATTTTTTCCATTCTTTTCTTCTGATCAACATTAGGTACAACTAATCAAAGTTTTCAATAGCTATGATGAAGATAAAATATCGATATCGAACTATCAAATTTTCGAATGTTATTTGTGTTCGCTTACTTTTAGCAACAAAAGACTTCTTTTGAAACTGCACATGAAAGAAAAACATACAGGCGAAAAAGTGTTTCAATGTAAAACTTGCTTCAAAAAACTTTTGGATAAATATACATTTCAAAAGCACATACAAACACATTCAATACAATTTGAATGTCAAATTTGTGGAAAAGGATTTGCGCGGAAGGAAGGATTAACTATTCACATGCAGTTTCACACCGGTTCATTTAACTATAAATGTAACTTTTTATTTTATATTATTAACTATTTGATTATAATTATTCGTTCTTTTCTTTTATGATTCTTCCCTTAGGTAACTTCTGTTCTAAGCAATTTTCAAAGAAATACAATTTAAATATTCATGTTAGAATTCACACTGGAACAAAGCCGTTCAAGTGTGAAATATGTGAAAAACGATTTGTCAAAAGAAGTGATTTGGTTCGACACGCTCGCACTCATACCGGCGAAAGACCCTTCAGATGCAATATGTGTCAAATGGCTTTTACGCGCAATCATTTATTATCAGGTACTTTTTATTTTTTACTTTTCCGCACACACATAGTGTGAAAGGGGAAAGTATTGCAATGGGTCAAAATTTACGACATCTCAAAAACATGTTTTCTGGACGTTTCTGAGGTCAGAGAACCCGAATCAGGCCGTTTTGAGCATGGTTGTTGTGGGTCTGTTCCACGTCGTACGTCGTACGTCGTACGTCGTACGTCGTACGTCGTACGTCGTACGTCGTACGTCGTACGTCGTACGTTGTCCGCCGTACGCAAAATTTGTCCATCGATTATCTCACCCCCCAGAAAAGTTATTTGAAATCTGACTTCACGGGATGATTGGGGGTCCCGAGGAATAGAAATCATTAGCTTTTGAGCGACTTTGGTCGATGGAAAAAAATTTCATGCCTGTAGTGATACCTATGAAAAAGAGTCCAATTTTCGTCGAAAAGTCATACTTAATGTAGACTTAAACACTCAAAAATATGTATTGGGGGGTTTTTTGGCACGAGAAAACCGAATCCGATGTTTATTTTGAGATACAATTAAGTTTTAACAGAGTTTCTTTGAAAAAATCGCGAAAAATTTAATTTTTGTATGGGAGCCATGCCTGTATGCTACCTTAATGACGTAAAAATTTGCACAGACTATTTTTCACACAAAAAAATAA